ATATAAATACAAGGACATATCTCTAGCCTAGCACGTTTCAGAATTTTGTACTTGCCTGTAGTAGCGTGACTGTAGGTAGGTTGAACACACAGCTTTGGAAACGTGACTAGCAGAACCAAAGTCAATGACCTTCACTCGGTAGGGTTGGCGAACTGGATCAACCAGCATTATATTTTCAGGTTTAAGGTCAGCATGAATCAGACCAAGACTCTTAAGCTTCATCAAAGCTGTGGCCACCTGCTGCAAGATCGGTCTGATGTACTTGAGTGGCAGTGGGCTAAACTTGTTCTGCTTTAGAAAATCATACAAGTTCTGCTCCAACATCTCAAACACAAGGCAGGTATGATTCTTGTGCTGAAAGCACTCGTAGGAACGGACAAAATTATACTCATCAGCATTTTCACTGCTTAGGCGGGAAAGGATGCTCACTTCAATCTGTCCTTGTCTGGCATAGGAGGGGTGGTTCTTCAAGATTTTAATAGCCACAATTTCCTTGGTACTCCGCTTCCAGCACTTTGCCACCTGTCCAAATGTTCCTCGGCCTAGAAACTCCAAGACTTCATAGCTGTTGGTCATAGAGCAAAGGATCTCATGCTGGACGAGTTGGTAATCCCCTTCTCCACTAGAACTGCTACTCTTCGTGGTCACAGTGGTGGTCGTGGCAGCAGCACCCACCACAGTTCTGTTTTGCAGCATGAGAGGGGGATGTTCTTCTATGATCTGCACGCTACCGTTGCTGTCAACTTCCTCACTTTTTCTTTTCAATCCACATTTTTGATATGGCTCAAGCAAAGAAACGTTGCTCCTGTGAGTCAGGGTCTGGCTGCTTTGGAAGGTTGACGTAGCAGCACTGCCTGAGCTATCAGCAGCTGTTACAACAATATGCTCTACTGCAGGTGCTGGGAGGAGGAGACCCTGGTCGTAAGCAGGAATACTGAAATTTGCAACTTGGTGTGAGGAGCTGGCTTGCCCTTGTGTGGCTGGGAGGGTTTTGCTGTGGGTATAATATTTGTCGTTGCTGCTCTGTCCTGAAACATCCCAGCCAGAGGGCTCTATTTTCAGTTTCTTCGCACTGCAGAAGGCACTCGACGACACTGATGGGGGGGAAAACACCTGCAGCTGTGATGCCATACCTACATGGAAAGAAAGAAAAATTAGACCACAAGGATTAGAGTTGCAAAGCTACCAACAGCATATATGAAATCACTTTCAGCTGACAAAAGCTGTACTAATGTTTCCCTCCTCTCAAAAGCTAATTCAGTCTTCGTTTTGAGTCAGGGTCTCCCTTTAGCCCCAGCTGGCCTGGAACTCATGTAGATGAGACTGGCCTCTATCTCATAGAGAGCCACCTGCCTCTGTCTCTCCAGAACTGGGATCAAAGGCGTGTGCCACCAAGCCCAACTAAAAGCTAATTCAGCCTTAACCAACATTCACAGAGATAGTGTCGAAAATGTACCAAAGTGAAGGCTAACAACTCTAGACAAGTCAAACATAAAATAGTGTTCAGCTCTGTCTCCTACATTTGAAAAAGATGGATATGTTGACCAAAAGAAACTAACCAGGTTGATAATAAGGCAAGAGAGTATCTTCTGAAGAAGGAAACTTTCTTAAAGTAAAGTTAATCTTGGAAAAAATACCCTGGGATCAGGTGGCAAGATGGCTCAGTGGGTAAAGGCACTTGTTGCCAAGCCCAGTGGCTTAAATTTAACCCCCAAGAAGCATGAGAAGGTAGGAGAGAACTTACTCACACAAGCTGTCTTCTGACCTCCACACATTCTCCATAGCATGCGCACCCAAACACACACATATACACATATAATAAATAAATGTAATAGTTTTTGAAAAAGAAAAATATGGGAAGAGGCTGGACACTGTTGCACATGCCTGTAAACCCAGAATTTAGAAGGCTGAGGCAGGAAGAAGTCATTCTGGAGTACACAGTGAGATCCAGTCAGAAAGAAAGAGAAATGAGAATGGAGGGAGGGAGGGAGGGAGGGAGGGGGAAGAAGGAGGAGGCAGAGGGGAAGGAGGAGGGGGAGGAGGGGGAGGGGAAGGAGGAGGGGGAGGAAGAGGAGGAGGAGAAAAAATGAAAAGAAAAAAGATGGGGAGAGGAAGTAAAAACAGCCCAGCTGTCCTGACTATCCCACAGATACTTCAAGTTCAGTTAACCAAACGACTAATCTCAAAGGTACTTTTTTCATAATAAAGTCCAAACATTTAACACAGAACACACAGCACTTCATATTTATCTGTTCTCTTCTCAACAATTTGCCCTTCAGAGGCCTTGAGGCTCTATATTAAACCCTCTACCTCCACACTTTCCCTCTTTTCAGTAATTATAACCCAGGATTAGTCATATGCAAAACACTCTCTCAAATTTCTGTCTCTAATCCAGACACCCCCCTTTCCCTCCTCCTCCTCCTCCTCCTTTCTGCCCCTCATCTATAAATCCTATCCAAATGCTCACTTGATACTGCAACTTGGTTACATTACAGGTACCTCAAATTCAGCATGCCTGCAATTAAACTTATGAACTTCCACTCCACTCCCAGTTTTCTATCTCAGTTATGAGATGGCACCATACCCCTACTGACTCAAACCAAAAATCAGAGAGGCAATAGCCTTAGCTTCCTCATCTATATAAAGGTAACAGCAATACCCATTTCAGGAAGCTGTTCTGACAATTAAGCTGTTTAATGGGCAAACCAGTAGTTCCTGACATACACTATCTCAACTCATTCCTCTCCCTGTTCTTCCATGTCTACACTACATAACTTATCAATTCTATCTTCTATGAATAGCTCATCAGCCATTTTTCTCTACCTTTGGTGGCACCATTCTAGTTCAAATTACTAATAGCCTCCAATTAATTGTCTTACATTTACTCAGATCTTTGCTTTCATTTGTTGTTGAATTCATGGTGGTTGTTGGGGGGTTTTAAGTTTCATTTTTATTTTATGTGTGTGAGTGTTTTACCTGCATGTATATAGGTGCACCTGTGCATGCAAGGCCCACAGAGGTCAGAAGAGGGCATTGGATCCCTTGGAACTGGAGTTACAGACACCTGTTAGCTGCCACGTGGGAATCAAACCTTGGTCCTCTGGAAAAGCAGCCAGTGCTCGTAACCACTGAGCCATCTCTCCAGCCCCTTTTGTTTCGTTTTTGAGACAGGGTCTTGTGTATACCAACTGTCCTAGAGTTTGTTATGTAGCTGAGGATAACCTTGAACTTTTGCTTTGCTTTTAAACAGCAAACTAGATAACTGTTCTCCTTTTTTTTGTGAAAAAAAAATTTGTTTTATTTTTTAATTGTGTGTATGTCTGTCTGTGTAGAGGTATGTGCACACAAGTGCAGCCCTTGTTGCAGTCCAGAGGTGTTAGATCCCCTGGAACTGGAGTTACAGGTTGTGGTGAGCTGACTAATGTGAGTTCTGAGAACCAAACTCAGGTGGTCTGCAAGAGCAGTATCCACTCTTAATGGCTTAACCGTATCTCCAGCCTCCTGTTAACCATCCCTCCTCCCTTTCCCCCAGAAGTTTTATATTACTTTAAGTACAAAATTAAAAATCATTAAGCCAGGCCTGGTGTAAGCCTGTAATCACAGCTACTCAAAAGGTAGAGAGGTAGGAGGATCTCAGGTTGAAGGTCTGCCTGGACTACAGTGAGTTCAAGACCAGTCTAGGTAATCCTGTTTCAAAAACTACAAAAGAGAAAGAAGGAAGGGAGGAAGGGAGGGAGCGAGGGAGCGAGGGAGCAAGGGAAGGGGGGAAGGAGGGAAGGAGGGGTAGGGGGTGGTGGTAGCTGGGGATACAGCTCAGTAGAAGAGTATATTTAGTGTTTGCTTAGCATGTGTTGCTTACTATGTACAAAGCACTGGATTCAATCCTCAGTACCCTAGGGTAGAGGGATAAAGATCTTCACCAAGGGGTTAGGGAGATGGCTCAATGGATCAAGTGCTTGCCACACAAGCATGAGGACCTGAGTTTAGATCCCCAGCACCCACATAAAAAGTTCAGGTAGCCATGTGCATCTATAATCCCAGCACTGGTGAAGTAGGTAAGACAGGAGGATCTCGAGAGTTTGCTGGTCAGCAAATCTGGCTGAACCAGTGAACCCTAGGTTGAGTGAGAGACACTTGTCTCAAAAAATATGGGGGACTGCAATGATGTGACTCTGACTGAAGTGACCTTAAAGTGCCATTATGTGAACTTTTTAACCCTGAGCAGAAAAAAAAAATGGGAGCAAGTAACTGTAGAACACACTTGACATCGACCTCTAGCCATCGCCCCCACAGAGAGAGAGAGAGAGAGAGAGAGAGAGAGAGAGAGAGAAATCGATCAATCACAGGCATGTGCCATCACACCTGGATTGCTCTTGCTCTTTAGTTCTTGCAAGGCTACTCCATTATGCTTAACTCCAGGAATATGGTTTCCTAACACAAAACACAAACCTCTCTTCTCTCTCTCTCTCTCCCCCACCCCAACCCCGTCCACACTCCCCACAATCATCCCTCCCACTAGGAATTCTTAACAGCACCTTGGTCTACCCTTAAAATTAGAAATTATTTAGTGCTACATTCCCAGCCACAGTATAAATTCCATGCGGACAGGTATCATCTGTTTTCTTTTTCACTTCTATCACCCAGACCCTACCAGATTCTGTTAATGTAACATAAACACAATGTTGCTGCAAGAAAGTCTTGACGCCTGCCTACCAACTACATTATCTACCGCAACTCACAACCACTCATATATAAACCATAGGATTTTCAAATGCTTGTCTTTGGTTTTTTTTTCTTTAAATGTCCTCTTTTATCTCTGTCGTCCTAAAGATATGGGAGAAGTCTCCACTCTAACCCACATACTATAATTTTACAAGTCATAAGAAAATAAACACACAAAAAGGAAGGAAACATGAGAAAGGATAGATGTTACAGAACATCAAAAAGCAATGTGTAGGGGCCAGGACTGAGGTCAGAGAGAGAGTACTTGCCTTGAATGCACAAAGCCCTGGATTTGATCCTTGGCACCACCAAAAAAGAAAAGGGGAAGGGGTAGCAAATATGTACATTTTTTGTGCCTGATTACTACTAAAAACTAGTTGTACTGTAGTCAGCTACAAAGAAGAAACATATCCTCAACCTTCAATTTCTCAAATATGGTTTGGATTTACTTTAAGCAAGAGTTTCCAAAATTTATACGAACCTTGAAGAGGAAAAAAAGAAAAGCACAAATTAAAAGCTAAGGACAATTCACTATAACTATGAGGTTGTGCATATACAAAGCAACCTATTCTACCTACATCACTGATGTAATACCAAATATAGTAAAAGAAAAATCTGAAACCAAATAGCTCCTTTAAAAATATTTGCCTATTAAAGTATGAACAAAGAATTATTTGTTATATAAAATTGAGCCAAATTGGAAAAAGGAAATGAACCTTCCAAATTTGTTTTCCATATCCTTGAACTATAAATTCAACAATCCATCCAAAACTATGGAGCACAATCTTTATGTAACTAAAAATATTTTGTGGAAGAATTTGAATATAAAATTCAGTTGGCAGCAATTATGAAGAATAGAGGGTCATGACCCGGTAGTAGTACACACCTAGAATTCCAGCACTTGAGAGGTGGAGAGGCAGAAGGATCAGGAGTTTAAAGTTAGCCTTGGCTACACAGTGAGTTTGAGACCAGCCTGTGCTATAAGCTCTCTCTCTCTCTTGCTCTCTCTCTCTCTCTCTCTCTCTCTCTCTCTCTCTCTCTCTCACGCACGCGCGCGCACACACACACACACACACACACACACAAATATATATATATATGAGATCATGTCATAAAGTAATACTGAAAAATCACAAAACACTTGTTTGTTATTTCGGTTTTTTGAGACAGGTTCTTACATAAGTACAGGCTGGCATCAAACTCACTATATAACCAAATAACCGTGAACTCTTGATCCTCCTCCCTCTACCTCCTGAATGTTGGAATTATAGGCATGCACCACCACTCCTAGCCAAAAAATTGTAAAATGTTTTTAACTAGAGAGTCTTTAAAAATATTATTTACTTCCCGGGCATGGTGGCGCATGCCTTTAATCCCAGCACTCGGGAGGCAGAGGCAGGCGGATCTCTGTGAGTTCAAGGCCAGCCTGGTCTACATAGTGAGTTCCAGGACAGCTGGAGCTACAGGGAGACCCTGTCTCAAAAAAACCAAAAAAAAAAAAATTCTCTCTCTCTCTCTCTCTCTCTCTCTATATATATATATATATAGAGAGAGAGAGAGAGAGAGAGAGTAATGTTATTGTTCACTTTTTACCCTATAACAAAATAACAAACACTAATGGCTTCAAGAATTCACTCAACACTACAATAAAACCCATGTTCAGGGGCATTTTGTATATAATTCTCATAGGGAAAGACAAACCTAATCCACCTAAAGGGGAAAAACCACCCAGAATTTTACCGGCCATTCTCACAGGTACATATTGTGCCAGCAGGACTCTTCCAGGTGGCTGATGCTCATTCAGACCTCAGTTAACAAGGTGAGAAGAAAACAGAATCAAAATGGCCTAGAAAAAGCAACACTGTTATTTATACTCCACTCTGAAATGAAGCTAAAAACAGCCATTTCTAGGCACAGATTCTGTTCTACAGACCTGCCTTTCAAACGGGGAGCAATTCTTTTTCCAGGCAAGACCTCTCAAACAAAAATATGGAACTGAGTATCTGTGGATATTTTACTATATATAATGCTGTTAAATTATAATCTTTTCAATTCACATGAGACTAGCTCCCAATAAATTAAAAGCTATTTTTAACTTCCTAAAAACATTTTACGTCTTGGATCCAGCAATGAAAAATATCTCTTCATTTCAAAATTCACTTTCCAAGAACTTAAAGATTGTGATATAATGACAAAGTTGCTCCCTGCATTAATCCCAAACTAGAATGAATAGGCAAAAGGCTATTGGAATTGTTGTTGTTGTTGTTTGATCTAGGACTGTTTCCTGAATGGCTTGTCTCCCCCGTCATCATCCACGGGACTTTGAAAAGTTGTAGAAATATGCAGGTACAGACCCGAAGCCCAGCTTCATCTCCAACATTGTGGAAAGGAACTACATCGTGGGGCAGAGGCTATTGGTATTTGTATTTACTGCTCAAAAGAGAACTGAGTCTTGCTAGAATGAAAGGCTTTCAAAAATAGTTATTTAACAGTTTCTCCACTCCTGGCAGGGCACTCCACACTGTAATCACTACAAGTAGATGATCCTGCGACAAAGAATTCAAATATTATAACACTGCATGGAATGGTTAGGTGCAACAGCCAAGATATCATTTTTCAATGCTTTGCCCTTAATTCTCAGTAACATCTATCTTTGCCCCAACATAACCTATAATAAATTCTTGCTGCTTTTGTTCAGTGTTATCTTTGCTTCTTTAATACAATTTAACAGTTGGTGACCTAAATAACCTAAACTAGTAATACATTGATTTCTTCGTCTAGTATCTGTCCTGGGCTGACATGTGCATGGATGTACATATTTTCCAGTATATACATCCAAATATAGTCTTATCATTATAATGGTAAGAGTACATGCTTTACTGGTCTTTAAATTTTATTGGGGGGGGGAACAACGGACATGTGCCATAGAGCACATGTGGAGGTCAGATAACAACTCTGGGAAGTTGGTTCTCTCCTTCCAACTTTACATGGGTTCCAGAGATCAAATTTGGATCATCAAGCATGGACAGCAAATACTTGCTGAGCCACCCCAAGGCCCAAGAGTATACATTTTGTAAAAGTAAAACAAGATGGGCTAGAAAGATGGCTTGGTAGGTAAAGTGCTTTCTGCACACATGACAACCTGAGTTCAGATCCCCAGCACTCACATAAAAGCCAGGTGCAATGGTACACATCTGGAACACCAGCGCTAGGGATCAGAGACAGGCAGGTCCCAAGAGCTCACTGGCCAGTCAGTCTAGCCAAATTAGCAAGGTTCAGTGAAGATTATCTCAAAAATAAGGTGGACAGCAACAAAGGAGGACACCAAATGTCAACCTCTGGCCTATACGTGGGCATACAGGGGGCACTTACCCCCCCCACACACACAGAAGTGCACATACACACACACACACACACACACACACACACACACACACACACAACAAGAAAGTTTAGGAAGCTAGGCATGGTGGCATACAACTTTGATCTCAGTGCTATGGAGGCAGTCAGGTAGATCTCTGTGAATTCAAAGCCAGCCTGGTCTACATAAGTGAGACCTTGTCTCCAAAAAAAAAAGGGCAAAGAATTTTACCAGAACACCTAAATATCTATTCCATTCAGTTTTCTCTACCCATACTGTACAATTCTGGACTACTTACTTAAACAACCTAAATGGTCTCCCCAAGATTGTCCTCTCAAGTACCCTGTCCATGTTTACCTTTAATTCATTCTTCACTTTCTAACTAAAGCTTTTTAAAAATGCACATCTGTACCCCCCTTCAAAACTATGGAGATAAAGCCCAAAAGCTCAAATTTGTATTAGCAGATCTTTTAAGGTCTGGCGCATGATTGCTCTTACAGTTTTGTTTCACTCACTCTTTTCCCCAGGCACTCTCTCTTCCAAGCAGTACTTCTTAGCAGTACTGTACCAGGGTCTCCTGGAATGAGCCTTGCCTTCTCCTGCCCTAGTTCCTTCATGCAGAATGTGCCCTTTCTGTACTGAACTTCATTTCCCCGCTTAGCTTTTTCTTTTCCTAACATCAACATATCCTAAGACTCTACTTAAAGCTCACTTCTTCAGTATTAGGGCTTGTTGATTTCTACCAAAATCTACTCTCCCCTTCACCTGAGGCACATGTCTAAACTGTTAACCAGTCTTCATCACCAAGAGTAAGGAGTGGATAGGCCTTTCAGAGATCTGGTTTCCACCATGAGATGACACCCAAGGATTGTAAGAGTACCAAAACAGAAAATGGGTCTTGGAGTGATCATGCAGCCCTGAACAGATTGCTAACCTGGAACATCACTTTGATGTGGAACATTTACTTCAGACTTTTACATAAGATAGAAACAATTTTTCTTCAGCTAGATTATTTAGTCAGGCTTAGGCTGACAGAAAAGCCTTCCCCCAAGGGCTACTTTCTATTAGGTCAGGTTCCTGATAAAAGATCCCATAGCACAGTCTACATCTTTACAGTTACACTTACCCATTTAATTTAATTCC